TTAATAATTATTAAAATGACTGGTTGTTTTTCAGCACGGAGTATTCTAATAATTTCTTTAGTGAGAAAGTTGTTTTTTCCGATGCAACTTGAACGTTGCTCGGGTCAGACAGGATAGGGAGCAGCTTGAACAAAAAGAATAAAAATAAATCAGCACACTAACTGCTGCGCTGGCAGACATGTACATTTATTATCAGTTCTGTTTGTTATGATATTGGACCGATAAATATGATGTCATAATCTCCTGATATCGACCAATAATTATCGGGCTGATAGTTATCGTGCACCTCTAGTATATGTAGAGTTCAATGATGCTATTTTGGTCTTGATTAAAAAAACAGTATAACTTGAAGATATTCTTTGATAAAGCGTCTCCCTGCAGGTGGTCTGTCACGACTTTTACCTGCCGCTGATGATCAGTGGAGTGAGGTGGCCCGCCCATTCTTTATCTCCTTCCCCCTCATCCACGTCTRTCTCACTGACAGCTGACAGCAGGAGTCACATCAAAGCTTATCCTCACTTTGTTGCCATGGCCACGCAGCAGCCACCCTGGGTACAAGCCACAGGTGGGGTCACTGAGGTTTATTTGTGTCAAAGAGTAAAATCTAATTAAACTCTGACTGCAGTTATTTGTAATGTTTTGTTTTAGCCCTGTTTGCTCCACTGGACATGTCCCCCACAAGACTAGAGTTTAATGTGGAGCCCCAGCTTGACTCTTACTCACAGGTACTGATTGTCCTCATTTATACAGTTATTTTAATTGCTTCCTGTGTTTGTGTTACTCATTGCTTCCTGTGTTTGTGTTACTCGTGGCGTTCACTCTGTCCCCTGCAGAGTGTGGAGCTGAAAGCAGAGGGTGAAGACAGTGTTTGCTGGCGTGCTGTCACAGAAGACTGTGTGCACTGGTGGTTTGACTGCAGTGTGATGTCAGGGCCTGCACAAAGCACAAAAGACCAGCAGCTGTGTGTGGTGTCTCCTTCATCTGGCACACTCAGGCCTGGTCAGGCTGTGGGGTTAGTGGTTTCTGTCAAACCTGAAGCGCTCAGAACAGGTGAGAAATACCTGGAAGTTATTGAGTTACAGTTGATATTTGTTTTATTAAGATAAGCCCTGTCTGTGCTCAACTTATTGAATCTTGTCCACTCCTAWATTTATATTTAAAAAGAAATATTATTCATCTAACCTCCTGAGACCTGCATTTTAATGTTGAGGACATTGGACCAATGATGTCTTGTGAAAGGTTAGTTGTGGGATCATTTGTGGTAATGTAATGGACTCGTAACTACAGGGTACCTACGGGGGGTGGGGGGTGCTTTATGTTACTCCATAATTACCCTGTATGTTACCTGGTAAGTACCCTGTAATTAACCCATAAATACCTGTATGTTACTCCAGAGGTAAAGGGTTGCAATTCCCCTCATTATACAGCCTGGTCCAAATGTTACCCACTATGCACCCTAGACTAATCCTGTATGTTGCACTGGAATTACCTCAGAAGTATTCCATATTCACCCCATAGGTTTACTGAAATTACCCTGCATATTACTCAGAAATTACCCTGTATATGGCTCAGAAATTACCCTGTAATTGCCCCATAAATACCTGTATGTTACTCCAGAAGTAAAGGGTTGCAATTCCCCTCATTATACAGCCTGGTCCATATATGTTACTCACTATATACCCTAGACTAATCCTGTATGTTGCACTAGGACTACCTCAGAAGTATTCCATATTTACTCCATAAGTTTACTGTAATTACCCTGTATATTACTCAGAAATTACCCTGCATATTACTCAGAAGTTACCCTGTATATTACTCAGAAATTACCCTGTATATTACTCAGAAGTTACCCTGTATATTACTCAGAAGTTACCCTGTATGTTACTCCGAAATTATCCTGTATATTACTCCGAAATTATCCTATATATTACTCAGAAATTACCTTGTATATTGCTCAGAAATTACCCAGTATATTACCCAGAAATTACCCCGTATATTACTCAGAAGTTACCCTGTACATTACTCAGACGTTATGCTGTATATTACTCAGATGTTACCCTGTATATTACTCCGAAATTATCCCGTATATTACTCCGAAATTATCCTCTATATTACCCAGAAATTACCCAGTATATTACCCAGAAATTACTCTGTATATTACTCAGAACTTACCCTGTATATTACTCAGAAATACCCTGTATATTACTCAGAAATTTCTCTGTATATTACTAAGAAGTTACCCTGTATATTACTCAGAAGTTACCCTGTATATTACTCAGAAGTTACCCTGTATATTACTCTGAAGTTACCTCGTATATTACTCAGAAATTACCCTGTATATTACTCAGAAGTTACCCTGTATATTACTCTGAAGTTACACTGTATATTACTCAGAAGTTACCCTGTATGTTACTCAGAAATTACCCTGTATATTACTCAGAAATTACCCTGTATATTACTCAGAAATTACCCTGTATATTACTCAGAATTTACCCTGTATATTACTTAGAAATTACCCTGTATATTACTCAGAAAGCACCCTATAGATTTCACAGTTAATACTCTTTATGTAACATAATAAACTTGTAATTACACCTATGTTACCCCAAAATTACCTTTATGTTACTCATTTATTATTTGATATATTTTTTATCCATCAGGAGAAAAGGTGACCAAACTTTCCATCCCACTGTATTTGGGAGTGAATTCAGAGGAGAGAAATGAAGGACAACATCCCTACAGAGAGTTGTCGATCACCATTATCCTCCATCTTCCAAATATCACCTTCCACCCCCGTCAGATCCTTCTCACCCCAGTACCCCTGGCAAGAAGCATAGAAACCACACTCACCCTACTGGCTGAGGGCTATCAAAGGTTGGTACAATAAGTTAACAACATGTATAAAGTAATGTAAATATTTGAAATGAAATGCAAAAAACATTGTTTTAATATAAAATACTGGGCTCTGGCTGCAGTCAGAGCCAGCTGTAGGGATGGGACTGGACTTTGACCTCACAGTTTTTATTTAAGTCATCAACACTGAACACCATGAGAGACACTGTTTAGTTTTTCTGATCACATTTGCGGCTGTCATCTTGTTTGAAGGCTGAGCAATAACAGTGACAGATTTTTATTGTAATTATTATTTTTTTAGCTTCAGGCAATTTACCATCTGTGTTGATCCTCCAGAGCTAAATAAAAGCTACACTCATAAAATGACAACATTCATTTCAAAATGTTTTTCTATATGTCAAGCCCAGGCTGTCTGGACAACTATCTGGCAAGTCTACAGTGACTTAGTGTATTTGACAAACATGAGTCTTACATTCATTGCTGTTTACAACAGTTACGATTTTCACGTCTTACAGCTAATTCTGTCTGATATTCTCATGGCTGAACTGAGAAACAAAAYAGACTGTACAGATAAAGCTGTAACTGAAAGCTAAAAGTAATACAATCCTTACTAAAAGTTAAAACAAATAAACCTTGGGTAAAACCTAATTATAGCAAAAAAAAAAAAATGCTAGAAAGAAGTAAAACATAGCAGCCACAGCTAAAGGATAAAATATGCAATTATAGCTAAAATAGGTAATCTATAGCTAAAAGTTTAATGCAGTCAAATGGAATCTGAAATCTTAAATTAACAAAATAGTAACTAAAGTTGCAAAAAGGTAATTAAATGCTAAAATAAGCTTAATTGACGCTAAATATTAAAATAAACCCAACTGTAGCTAGCAGTTAAAATCAGCTAAACCTAAATGTAGCACAATGTTTCCTAAAAGCTAAAAATTTGCAAGTTTGTAACTAAAAGCTAAGATGAGAAAA